ATAAAATATTGTCAGGCGACCCCTTTAATAAAAAAATATCCATCTTTTTTTTCTTTCTCTCACTCAGTAAGTAGAAGAAAACAATTAACAGAATCTAACATCTCTATCATAAAATCTAACTAAGAGGTCCTCGTTGGGTACAACAGATGCAAGGGGTGTTAATACCTTCCCCTTGTATAACCGACTCCCAGACTCGAATTTGGTTGCGACGATCGTTTTCTTTTTTAGAGGTTTTATCAATATTTCCCCTTTCCTGCTTTGGAATAAATAAAGTTCGATGGTGACTCTGTTCGAACATCAATTTTGTGGGCATGCGAATGCTTCGCGAAGGATCGCATTTTTCAAGATTCGGCACCAGGTTATTTTACTGAGGGCCCATGGTGGGCGCCATTGTATTGGTCAAAAAGTACATGTGTGCATTTTCCACATGATAAACACAAAACCAATCATGCTCTTCTTATGAGTCATAACCCAACAGTCAAATATAAGTCAAACTCAACACAGCCTGTTTATCACAGATTCCACACATCCAAGACTAGGTCCTTATGACAGTTGCAAATCAAAAGTCCACTTAAGCCTCCAACAGTCAATTTAAAACAACAAGTCTAAAAAAAAAGCAGCCCTTGTGTAACAGTCTCCTAACCAAAAGGGATATCATTAGGAGTAACATGCTGAGTCTTACCAACCTAAACTCATCGTTCTACTTAGAACACCAACTCTTGCTAAAACTAACAGAAACAAAAGCATCAAAACAAAGTACCAATTGATAGCAACAAAGCCTAAGCAGAAATTCACAGGCCAAGCTAACCTAAATTGGACAAGCTAAATGTCATGAAATCAAACTGTTATGAATTCCAAATCTCAACAGCCTCTAAACAAAAAGCACATCAGTAGGGAGAGCTCAATGAGTCTCTAGTCCAAATTCAACCCTGCTACCCTTAATGTCCAACAGCATACCAAGAGCTTCACTTAAATCATATTTAAAACCAGTCAAAAGCTACTCAAAACAGAACTGCCTTTAAGGATCCAAACAGATGTGAGGTACTCAACAACAGCAAACAAAAACAAGCTAACAAAGCTCCAAAAGCATGACAGTAAAAAAACATTGGTATTCCAACAAATATCCATTGATGAATTACAATAATAGCCCCTAACAGTAGGTTGAAAACAAAATCAAGGCAAACTACATAAGTGTGTTTTTGTTAACAGAAACAGTCATACACATGAATCACACAGCAGCAGCAAGTTTCAACACATGACATATCCAACACATGTAACAACACATTTGTGATTGTAATGACAAACACAAATCAACTCAAGATAGAACTTCACCCATGATTCACAATACATGAATAACACATGTTAAAGGCACATACATGATCAAAATAGTTGACAAACATAAGACATGGACATGCTCATAAAAGACTTCAAACAAAATCCAATAATACAAACAAACTCAAACATGTTTAATGATATTGATGCATATGAAACAGAGAGTTTAGAAATAACTTACCTCTTGAAGACTTCCCAAAGCAAACTAGCAGCAGACTATCCCTTTCTTGAACAAGCTTTGATGTTTCTCCCCCACTTGATGCAATAGTTGATTCTCAGAGCAGTTCAAGAGAAGACTCAGCAGCTCCTCCTTTTGCCAACAGTTTCAAAGTGGTGTTGAGGTGATAAAGTGTTTGAAAAATGGTGAGGAAATGAGTGAGATTCGAGGGAATTCTCAGAGCAACACAAAATGCAAAATCTGATTTCTCTCTCAAATGGTGGCTAGGGTTTTGCCCAGTTGCTAGTTAGCTTAAATAGCATATGGAGAATGTGAAAATGGAAGTTTAACAGTGGTAAAAGATCAATGGTGCATATCTGATATGTTCATGGTTGTTGGAATAAAATGGTGAAAGAAAGAACAGTACATGAGCATGCTGGCATCTTGTGGTTTTTGGGAGTGGAGGGAACAGGCTGTTGAGCTGCAGAATGAGGGTGGCTGGTCCCCTTCTCTTTTGGGGAAAGAAGTTCAAAATAGTGCACAAATGGTACAAGCTTGTGTTGGTTCATTTTGGGAAGTGTTTGGTGTGCTCAAAGTGGAAGTTCATGCGCATGGTTTGTGAATGCAACAGGATGTATGATGAAAATACAAGGTTATGCCAAAGTGCTACACAATATGAGTCTTGAAAACATGTTCAAACCACCAACTTTGAGTAATGATATCTTGGTGCTCAAAGATCCATTTGCCCTGGACTTGAGCTCTTAGTAAAGAGGGCATGGAGTAGAACAACTTTCATGTTGATGAAAGTTCCATTGGGTCATTGGAAGACCATAAAATTTGAGGTTGAAAATCATGCCACGAAATCTGTCCACAAATAACTTAGAAAAATTCTAGGTTATGGATTTTGTCTTATTTTTTCTCAACTTTGCCCATCCATAACTTGAGCTTCTCAAATCCAATGGAGGACTTCTTGTACTCTTTGGAAAGCTTGTAACATGATCTACATCTTTCATTTGGGACGAAATTTCATTTGACATCAAGAGCTTGATGGAACTTGACTTGCAAAGTGGTGAAAAAATCTGTCCAAACTTGACAGTTTTGAAATCATTAAAATCCCCAACTTTGATTGATCATAACTTGAGCTACAAATATCATATGATGATGAATTGGTACTTAAAAGAAAGCTTGAAATACAAGGAACAACTTTGATGTTGGCCAAAGGTTCGTTTGAAACTTGATCATGAAGAAAAATGGCTTTGAAGATGGCTGTTCCAAACATAAAACTTTCCAAAAATGGAAAGTTTCTAAAACCCTAATTCCCAAAATAGCAACTTTCAACAACTATTGATTTTTTCATGATTTCCTTGACTTTTCTTGATCAAATTCCACACATTGGTCATATTGAAATTAAGGATCATGATCTTGACTTCAAAAAGTCAGGAGTTGATTTTTCTCCAAATCTCTCGATTTTTAATCAATTGATCAATTGGAGCTCTTCTGATTAAAATTGATAGTCAATCACCCATCCCCAAACATCTTAGGACATATGGAGAGCCATGAAAACAAGTTTGCTTCAAGAAATAAGTTTTATCCTGATTAAAATTGAAACCCTAATTCCAACCCTTTTGGCCTGGGCATTGTTTAGATGAATGAGTAACCATTCCACTTCACTATAACCTCTGAAACACTCAACAAGCTTCTCCCCCACGTTCACACCAGTGATAAGACCTTATGGACCCCTTGACAATCTTCTGATGGTTTGTACTAGTGTCTTTGCTTGAGCTTGAAACCAATAAAGACTTTCCTCTTAGATGGTACACAAACAAACACTTGATCCCCTGTAAGAACTATGCTATGCAAATGCAAGAATGCTAAAATGCAATGAAACATAAGCCAAATGTTAAGAAAAAGGTTGGTCAAATTTTGGGGTACAACAACCCCCCTTTTTTCCTCTTCAACACCGGTGAACAAATAGCAAGTCAAAGACGCGTGGCAGTCCAGTGGTTCCCTTCTGATCAGGTCCTCTTAAATCTACAATGATGTAGAGAAAGAGTCAACGAAAAATTAACCAAGTCCTCTTAAATAATAGGGGATTAACCGCCCCTAAGTCCCATGCTCTCTTGACGTAACTTCTATTTCTTGCGAATTTGGAATTATTCTCATCTTAACATTGAAATTCAAAACGGGACAATCTCATTTATGCAAATACATCAAATAAATAGCTTTTCACCTCTTAACGTGAGCTGATTATAAATCATACAATAAATTCAAAAGTCTCTAACAACTTTTAGGGTCTATTTGATTTGGTTATGAAAAATTGTTTTTTAATTTTTAAAATTTGAAAATCATAAAATTCATTTGGCAATCTAGTGTTATAGATCTATTTTTGAAAGCTATTCTTTATTATTTTTAAAAACTAAAAAACTAAAATATGTTTTTGATTTTTAGTTTTGAAAATTAGAACAAGTAAACAAAAAAGCTAAAATGATACAATTTTAATTAATAAAAAATTTATAATATTGTTCAACTTTAAAACAACTTTTAAAAATTAAACTCTCAAACATATTTTATTTTATTTTATTTTTTAAAAACTTAAAAAATAATAATTTACAAAATAATTTTAAAGACTAAAAACTAAAATTCATTCAAACAAACATATAATACTTTTACCAAATAAAATAAATTAACACTATAATTATCTTAAATGGCATCAATAGATAAAAAATATTTTAATTTATAAAGTTTCTTTTCAAATTAAAATAGATAAAATTGACATAGAATAATAAAATATTAAAAGAAATAGTTGAATATACATAAATTTATAATTATTTCAATATATATATATATATATATATATATATATATATATATATATATATATATATATATATATATATATATATATATATATATATATATATATATATATATATATATATATATATATATATATATATATATATATATATAATTCCAATTTGAAATCTTTTTTTGATAGATAAACTTTGTATAATATTCTAAAAACGTCTTTAATAAACTATTAAAAATAAACGTTTTTAACGAAACTAAAAGTCTAAAATTGTTTGCAAGACAAAATTAATTTTTTTATACGTTAAACAAAGTTTGATATTTTTGTAAGGAAAAAAACATATTTAATCCGTTTTAAAAACATTATATGTGTATTATACAAATAAATAGCGAGAAGATAATAAAAATATAAGAGAGAGTGTGGGACCATGGGCACGAGGATGGTCCCATTTTAAAAGACATATTTATTTTATAGTCGTTCTTGGTTCTCCCTCCCGTCTCTCGCCTCTCTTCAACTTCAACGGTTCAATCACTCTTTTCTCCACTTCACTTTCACACTTCCAATAACCCAAACTATTTCCTTCATCACCATACATCTTCTAACACTGCCTCCTCCAGGTACTTTCTCTATCTCTCTCTAACACTTCAAGTTTAAACGAAACGTTTTTCAGTTTGAATGTTTTGAAATTTGCAGAAGGTGGGAATGGCTTACATGTGTGCTGACAGTGGTAACCTAATGGCTATTGCTCAACAAGTCATCAACCAAAAACAGCAACAAGAACAACAGGAACAACAACATCAACATCATCATCATCAAAATCTCATAGGTAGTGTCACTAACCCCCTCTCTCTCCATCCATGGAACCACAACAACAACAACAACAACAACAATTCTGTTTCATCACTTCCACCTTTAACCTTCCCACCAACCGACTTCACCGACCCATTTCAAGTCGGGTCGGCCCCCGACAATCCCGATCCCGCTTTCCACTTCCCTCCCCTCGACCCTCACTCCACCACCTTCCGTTTCTCCGATTTTGATTCCGACGACTGGATGGACACTTTAATGGCCGCCGCCGCCGACGTTGATGTCGGCGACACCAACACCCACAACACCACAGACTTCCCTCTTAACCCGTTTTCATCCTGCCCGACCCGACTCTCACCACCCTCGGATCTCCTCTTACCCGCCACCGTTCCACTCCAAATCCCATCCCAACCTACCAGTACCACCACTTCTCACAACAAAAACGTCACCACTGAAACGACTTCCTCATTACCGTCGTCCACAAACCCACTTCTAAAATCACTAACCCACTGCGCAAGTCTCATCGAAACCGAACCAAATCAAGCCGTGGAAACCCTAAATCATCTCAAAAAATCAATTTCGCAAAACGGAAACCCAATTCAGAGAGTTTCATTCTATTTCTCTCAAGCTTTAACAAACAAAATCACCGCAGAATCACAACTATCTCCTTCCATTTCTTCTTCAACTACATGGGAAGAGTTGACACTTTCTTACAAAGCCCTTAACGATGCATGCCCTTATTCAAAGTTCGCACATTTAACTGCAAATCAAGCAATACTCGAAGCAACCGAAGGATTCAACAATATTCACATAGTTGATTTTGGAATTGTTCAAGGGATTCAATGGGCTGCACTTTTACAAGCATTTGCAACTCGGTCTTCTGGTAAACCTAATAGTGTAAGAATTTCTGGAATACCTGCTATGGCTCTTGGAACTTCGCATGTTTCTTCCATTTCTGCTACTGGTAACCGTTTATCTGAATTTGCGAAACTTCTAGAGTTGAATTTTGAGTTTACACCAATTACTACGCCGATACAGATGCTTAATGAGTCTAGCTTTTCTATTCAACCAAATGAGGCTTTGGCTGTGAATTTCATGCTTCAGTTGTATAATCTTTTGGACGAGACTACGAATTCTGTTGAAACAGCGCTTCGTTTGGCGAAATCTTTGAATCCTAAAATTGTTACTCTTGGTGAATATGAAGCTAGTTTGACGACCCGTGTTGGGTTCGTTAAGCGGGTTGAAACTGCTTTTAATTATTTTGCTGCTTTTTTTGAGTCTTTGGAGCCGAACATGGCGTTGGATTCTCCGGAGAGGTTTCAGGTGGAGAGTCTTTTGCTTGGTAGGAGAATTGATGGGGTGATTGGTGTGAGGGAGAGGATGGAGGATAAAGAACAGTGGAAAGTTTTGATGGAAAGTTGTGGTTTTGAACCTGTTAGTTTGAGTCATTATGCAATTAGTCAAGCTAAGATACTTTTATGGAATTATAGTTATAGTTCTTTGTATTCTCTTGTTGAATCTCAACCCGGGTTTTTGTCTTTGGCTTGGAAAGATGTTCCTCTCTTGACTGTATCTTCTTGGCGTTGATTCCATGAAATGGATTTTGGACTCAAATTTGGAAATGGGTTTCTTCCACCTAGTCTTTTTTCTCTGGTGTGGAACAGCTATCTATAATTGTCTATATGCCGTGGAGGATCATGCTAGGAAGGAAGTTCTTCAATTTATGATGTTTTGCTTGGTGAAGAAGGTATGCAGATTGGATGTGTTCGTTATCAGCACTTAGCACTGCACTACAAGATTTTGGGATCATTAAATTAATTTCTGTTTTGGGATGTATTTTTATCAGTTTGGTCTTAGTTTCAATTAATTTATCTGTGTTTTTGGGTAGCATAAAAAATGTTCTAGTAGTTGTAGATGAAGGTTTATGAACTTGAAGAAATGGGAAGGGAATGCTTTCTTTCATGTTTTGCCAGTATTGTAACTCTGTAAATTTGATTATGTTGTTTGGGGTTTAAATTTGTCTAAATATCAAAAAGGTTATTTTACTTTACTCTCTGACTGATTTTGTTGTATGGCATTGATTAGTACAAATATCAAAGAGGCTTTTTTTTTTCTCTACTTTCTGACTCAGTCAGGGGTTATAATTTTTTCTCAGTATATCTGCAAGTTGAAAATCTGTACTCTTAGGATTTGTCTATGCAAAAGAGATTCATTTTCATCCAATGTAAATGCAGTTTCTTCCCAACTTGGGTGATAATTTATTAATTTCTAGCTGTACAAAGTGATCATGATTGAGGAAAGTGTCAGTGAATGGGTCACACAGTCTTCTATGTGGCACTTGATTGAAAATTGAAGATCCTTTTTCACTATGTGCTTCTGTGATCGGTAAATGACGTACACACAGTGAACTGTTGCATGGAAACTAAACTAGTGGGGTGATGTCTGATGACACACTCTTCTGCCCACCTATTATATTGTTCATGCACAGTCAATTGAGTGAAAAAAATTACTCTACACACTACTTTTGATTTTGGTTTATTTTTTCTTGATTTCACACCATCTGAATAAAGTTTGTTTCTTTTTGTTGAGCAAAGTTTTGGTGACTTTCCTTGCAAGTAGTTTAGTGTTGGTCTTTGCACAAATAAATGGGCCATATGATATGATATCATCATATTAGTGGCTTTCTTTTGTGTCTCTTTCATATGCTGCTTCGATCAAGTTGCTTGTCTTCATCACTCAGAGATGGTGAAGATGTTGAAACAGTAGTCTCTTTCGAGTGAGTTTGTAAAACGATTGGCCACGAGGGTGGTGACAAGGAAAGGCTGGCAGTGATGGTTTTCTGGTGTAGAGTGAGTGATGATGACAATTCAAGTGAATAGGACATTTTCTCTTTGAACTTGATCTGGCAGAAGGGTCCCATTAATGTAGACTACACTTTGTGAGGCTTAGATTTGTGTCCTATTCCCCACTTTATATGGCAGAGTTCGTAACTCAAAACTCATAGATACAACACCACCATCCCTCATCTAGAATCACATTACCCCACTTGGAATAAGTGCAATTCAAGTGAGTACTACAGTTGTATGTTTTGGTGTATTTGGTAGATTCACAATAACATAATAATTTTGTTATCAAAATCACCATGATTTGAAGCATTGTTAATGAACAACTTAAGTTGCTGCTAAATTGAAACAACGAATATGAATTGGGACCACACAGTACTAGGATGGATTTTATTTTTCATGGTTAACTAGTCACATCATGAGCAATCAAATCAAAGATGGGGGTGTGTGAGTTGAAAGGATGGAAAGACAAATACATATGTTGGAAAATGAAGCATGGTTGTTTGTTGATACAAATGAAGAAGTGCTTGTACACGGAAAAGATTCATATGTTCTGAACAGTAGGGACTGGTGTCTGTATTCGTAGGATGGCACAGACAGAGTGGCCCAAGAACAAATATTGGCTTTTAGTTTGCATGCTATGTTCGTCTAATAGCCTAGGGACTTTATTTTTCCTTTTTAATAATGACTCATGCTTAGGGTACTTATCAAGACATTTGTTATGAATTATTAGTAAGAAAAATAACTGGTTTGAAAATAATATTTTCATTTTTTTTTTTATCAATTACAGTAAGCCCGTATTAGTGCAATTGGCAGGCCTTCCTTTTTGATATTTCGTTTTTTATAATTTATATATTATTCTTTAATTGGTTTTATTAATATTTTCTGTGAAATAGTTTTATTAATATTTTCTGTGAAGAACTAAAAGTGTTTCATTTACTTTTTTTTCTCTCTTAAAATGATGGTTTCATTATAATATCACTATAATATTTATTAATATTTTTTCACTATTATACTCTATTTATTAACTTTTACTTTATTCAATTATTCAATTAATTATAATTAACAAAGATATTTTAGTAAATAATATTAATTTTATCATTAAAATTAACATATTTGATTATTTTTTTAAGAACCGTATATACTTTTTATGAGACGAAGGGAATATGTCATAAATTTTCTATGACATGTTATTGAAGATTCAAGAGAGTTTGAAAATTTCTTTTCAACTAAGTCTTGGAGGCCAGGTCAGATGGAACTACTCCACCCACATAGTTAAGTTTTTGACAAAATGATATTAGTTGGACTTTTAAGTACAACAAGGTGGACGGGACGATTTTTATCTTCCTCAAATTTAAATTCGAACCTTAAAACAATCTTTGTTCCCCGCCTAAAATTCTATTGCGAATTGAGAATTAAAACTTAAACTCATCCCAAATGGGTTTGGATTGGATTTAGTATCCCCACTCCGCCATCATCTATTTAATTAAATTATTTTTTAAATAAAAATATTTACTTTTTCAAAATAAAATCACAATACAAATAATAAAATAAAAATATCTCAAAAAATTTCATGCATACATTTCAAATATTTTAAATAATAAATATAAATCAAAATATCAAAAAATTAACCACATATTTAATATTCTAAATTATCAAACATAAAATAATAAAGCACATAATAAAATAAACGGGACGAGTTTGGGGTGGGTACTAGTGTCCTAATTATCCAACTCGTCCCCATATTTTATAATCGAGAAAAACACAAACTCGAACCCAAATTCAATCAAAGCGGATCTTCCCCGTCAAATTCAGAGCGAGTTCGAGTGGGTACCCGCGAGTATGAGGTATGTTGTCATGCCTAAGTACAATTCTTTTTCTGACAAATCTTTCTTTCAATAATTGTACATCTTGGCTCTAGTAAGGAAATGGCTCTGAGTCTAATATTTGCGAAAAATACTCGTACACAAGAGGGAGCATCACGAAAATGTTATTCTTAAATTTTTTCACACTACTAAAGTAAGGCTCAAAATAAATGGGTAGTAAAATTATATAAAAATAAATAAAGATAATAAAATAAACTTAATAAGCTAGGACCGGAGCGGGGTGGGTGTGGAAAAGGTACTAGCTGAAATGGCATTACCTTCTCTACTAGGTTATATTTTGATTGCTTGTCTTTCAAGCTTTTGGTCTAGTTCAACTTTCATTGAGTCTCCTCACTGATTAAACATCTTAGGATTAAGTTTTTGATCCATAATTTTGCTTGCATAAATCAAACTCTTTGATTATAGTGTAAGCAAATATGCTTCATGTCATTTTTCGAGTTTTTGGATCAAAAATTATATTTGAGATTGATTCAAATCATGATATTGGTAGAATTTCCATAAAAAAATTTAACGCTTTGCTAGGTTTATAGAAAAAATCCGCAAACAATTTACAGTTTTACTAGATTTTTAAGAAAATCCGGAATTGGCTGGATTCTGTTGTTGTTGGAATCAGAGATTTCAAAATATTCCGAAAAAATTGTAGTTTATTGGCTATTTTGGAAAATTTTGATATATTGGATTTTTTGCATAGACCTAAAAATTCGGTAGTTTGGTATGCTTCACTTGTGCGGCCTTGATCCTGATGGTTCTCCTGTGGATTTTACTCGTTTTTTTTACCACTAACACAAAATACTTTTCATAAATGTTTAAATTTTAAGTAGTTCAAACAGACTTATCATATCTCTGACATTGATAATTTATTTTGTATATGTTATAAATGTCGGATATTTCCCTCTGGGGGTGACGTTTTGGCATGAACGCAATCTGTTGGTAAACAACATGGTATTATTATTGTTACTATTTATTATGATACTACAAATAAGATGAGAGAGATGAAAGATAAATTGATTGTGGATTATGAGAGAGGAGGAAATTACAACAAGAAGGATGTGATTGCAGAAAATTATAGTATGAAAGTGAAATGTCCATTTATGTTGAGATATGTGTCAAGTGGAAGCGGTTGGAAGGTTACAGTTAGGTGTGGATTTCACAATCATATATTATCTAAGAACTTAGATTGAAATGGCATATTAGTTCATTTAAAAGATCATGAAAGAAAGTTTTTGATTGACATGACCAAATACAATGACACCCAGATACATAGTTGCTACTTTAAAAAGATAGAGATCTTGAAAACCTAACTGAGCGTTACCCATATCTACATGGAAAACTATACATATAAGACGAGTGTAACACCTTTAAAACCCAAATATAATTTATATAATAATGCGGAAAATATGAAGATAACAATCAGGATGTCACATTAACAACTTCAACTTTAATTTTCAAAAGGCAAAACTTTAATTTAAAAAGAGAATAACATTAGCAACTTAGTCATTAAAATCACTTAAGTTTGAGAAAACATAGCCAAGAAAATTATTCAACACAACTTAAAAACATAATAAAACTTCCAAACTGATGTTACACTATCAGAGCGGCACTAGATAGAACTAAACAACCGATAGATTTCGGCGAACAAAAACAAGCCACTAACGAAGAAGTCAACTATGTCATTCTTAGTAACCAATAGTTATCACTCCTCAACCACAAACTGGGGGTCACCTGTATCAAGTACAACAGCAGAGAACATAACACAATAAAGGAGTGAGAATACATTCATATATGATAACGGTGCATAAAATAACAAGGATAGTTCACATCGATATAATCAATTAACGCAATGTATGACATACAAATTATTATGCTATATGTAAATACTCTACTCCCATGCATGTGGTACTATCCTACAACCCTATATCAAAGTCCTACAATGCTGATATCAAAGTTATGTTACTGAGGGATCCTTAATATTGGACCTGAGTCCTATAACATTGGATTGAAACCCTAAGTTAATCTTTGATATACATGACGCATGATGCTACAACAAATGAAAACAATCTCCATTCGGACCTCTTACTCTAATTATCAATTATCAATCACAACACTGGACCGAAGTCCTTCAACACTGGACCGAAGTCATACAATGTTGGATATCAGAGTTATATTACTGAGTGATCCTCAACACTGGAACAGAGTTCTACAACACTTGACCAAAGTCCTAGAACACTAGACCAAATTCCTAGAACATTGGTTTCTTTCAAACATAAACATCAAACGACCATCAATATTCAACAAGGCATGTTCGTAACATCAACAAAACTCATAATTAACTATAACAACTTATATTCAAGGTTAAGGGTTACAGGCATATCCTTTAAGATCTCGAGAACAACTCTAATTCAACTCATTTTCTTGTCACACTCAAGTCTAAACATTTCATACTCAACTCTAACCATATTAATAACTCAAAATGAACTCATTTAATTTTCATACTCAACTCTAAACATATCAAATAACTCAAACTCAACTCTAAATGTATCAAATAACTTAACTTAACTCATTTAACTCTGAAGCTCAACTCTAAACATATCAAATAACTCAAAATCAGTTATTTATAAATATATTCAAATTCCTTAAATCGCTCTAAGAGTTTTCCAAAACCTTTGCCCCTATAAGTTTACCCTTATGATCCCTAAACCTTTGATTTAACTTTAAAATAAGATGTTTAATTTCATAATAGCGTCAAATATTGTAGACTTATGATAAAATTATGAAACTCTTCAATCTAAAGATTTTTTAAACCCTCATTCAAATGCAATTGATTGCACCTCGATTAGAGTATTCTAACTCTAGTTTTATTCATTTCAGTTAAACCATATCACAATATTTCATGCATAAACTCTAAAACAAAATGTGTAATTCACAATAGTACCAAATATTATAGACTTATGATAAAATTATGAAACTATCTAGTTTAAAAGTTCTTTAAACTCTCTTTCAAATTTAATTAATTGCATCTCAATCATATTTACAAAACTCAAGTTACGCGTGAAACAAGATGACCAACGCACGACGAAAATTGACTACATTTCTGATATAAAAACCAAAAAACTGATATTGTTGTAGCACTTATCGGCCCAATTTCCCCACTTCAATAGAAAGGTTATTGCGTTAGCTTTCTAACACAACTAACCACACCTGAAACGTGCTTACGAAACTCAAGTTACGCATGAAATAAGAGGATCAATCCCCTTTTATGTCTATTTACGATTTTTCTCTCTGCAATAGTTTTAAACTTTTATATTTTCATTCTCATGGCGGTTGAAACTCAAAATTCAATATTTTCTCATCAACAACAACATTTTTATTCTCGCCTTGTCATAAAACGTCAACATATTTTATCAGTTTAACATATGTACTCATGAAACTCAAAATTAAGAATTAGGCATACATATTTACACGAAAATCAACAATCAACCGATCACGAAAAGAAAATCATATCATATCACAACGTCTTTGAGAGATTTTTCACAAACTTTCTCAAGCTTTAAAACACTCATCAATGGAGGAAAAAGAAAAGAAAAAGGGAAAAGGATAAGGGATCATCTCTATCCTTCATGCCTAACCACCCATATCATGAATAGTTTCCTCCTTGCCTCGAATTCGCATAAAAAGTTTGAAGCTTCGAAAATGAAATATCTTTCCTTCTCCTCCTAAGCTAGGGTTGCCTCTTTCTCTCTTTAGCCTTTTTTCCACAAAATTCTACTTACTATAAACTTTCTCCCAATTCTTCTCTCCTATTTAAAAGTAAAAACCTAACTTCCTTCATTATAATTAATTTCGTAACTCTCATTAACTTTCACTAATTCCACTCACCTTCCTAATTTAATTAAAAATATACTTAAATGTCCAAAAGTCATTTTCTCACATTTCTCTATTATTTAAATTATTACAATGCAATTAAATTCTAGTTTATACTAAACCACAATATTCGTCACTTCCACTAAGTTAAATAATTTTACCCACTCATTTATTTAATTCTAATACAAGGTCTGGTTTTTTGGTACACCTAAAACATTTTGAAGTTGTATGTGATGACATTCAAAAATTTGTTCAATGTGTGTACGAGACTTGGTTGACGCCTTATAAAAAAAGATTTGTTACTGCTTGAAATAATAGTCACTCATATAGGGAACACGACAATGAAAAGGTACATCGATGTGCATATGAATATAGTTACATTACTAATCATTAAATAATGACATATTGTTTTGTTTGTGTTTTTTAGGGTTGAGTCTGCTCACTGGAGACTAAAAAATATGTTAATTAGTAGCATGAGAGATTTATGTTGAGATTGAGATGTTGTTAATACCATGTTGAAGATGCAATTAGGTTCAATTAGAGTAACATTTCAGAAAAGTGTTGCCAACATTGAGCATCGGTATAACACTTCATTTTATTCCAAATTGCACGACTTCGTTTTAAGGCGGTGCATATAATACATTGAAAAGGAGCTGGAAAGGATAAAATCCATTGGTTGTGACAAATCAGTATTTGGTTGCTTTATTAGAAAAACACATAGGCTATCTTGTGCGTGCGAACTTGCAAGTTATCAAATACAATAAGAGCATGTTCTGTTAGAATCGATACATGTTTTGGAAGAAATTATTCATTGAAGAGCATGAGGTCACTAAATAAGAAAGTGAGACGCAGTTGGATTTAGAAGAAAAGTGTGAAGAGCTGAAAAAGTATTTTAGTACACTGGATATTGTGGGTTAGAGGGCGATGAAGAAAAAAATTTGAGAACTAACACATCCTTCCACAACTTTCATGTGTCAACCACCAGTGAAGTACAAGGCAAAGAAGGAAAATAAGAAAAGTAAAAAGGGTGAAGAGAGTGATGTGCATCGTGATCCTTCACGGTGGGAATATGTTGAGGGCTTGCAGGGAAGTCAGAGTACAAAGAGATCATGTACAAAACCAATTGAAAGTCAATCGTTCAACGTGTCTTCAAAACTAAATATTTGTCATAGTTTTCTATTTTCTTACATCAATACATTAATGAAATTGTTGATGTGGATGACGATGAAACTTGTGGTTTTTGGTCGATTGCTACTTTACTTGGATGAGGTGAAGAGTCTTAGCCTTTGGTTCAAACGTAATTAGATATTGAACTTTATCAACATAATCAATTGTATTCTAATTTGTTCTATAACACGGTACTTGAAGTTATGAATATGTTACGGGTAGCTAGCTTGGGTGTGTAGGGTCGTGAAAAGTGGATGAAGATTTCTGATATGGGTTACCCTATTACTTCTATATACAATGTTATATTGGTCTTGTTCTTTGGGAACCTTACCATCACATTCTTCCCGTTAGTGATACCTTCATGCATAGCTTCAAGTTGACACAAAATGATTGTATTTGGTTTTTTTAACAACAATCATTGGATTCAAGTGAAGTTGAAACTCAATTGTCTTTTGTCTCCTGTTACAGGCCGATAAAAATAGAACTGTAGTAAAGTTGCAAGGACATGAGAATCAGCATATGCGGGACATATTAGACACTAGGAAGTAGACATAATTTGTTTTGTAATAATATTAAAGCACTTTTGTAATATACTTAGTTAAAACTCTCTCTCTCTCTCTATATATATATATATATTAAAAGTTTCAAAAAATTTGATGTGTCCTGGATTTTTCAAAAAATTTGATATGTACTGGATTTTTCAAAAAATCAAGTAACTTTTATACATTACCAAATACTCGCAAAAATTTAGTGTGAATCGGATATTTCAAAATATCCAAAAGATTTTATACATTACCGATTCTTTTCAAATATTTGACAATTTTTGTTCCGCATTTTTCAAATATCCTTTATTTCTTCATTATGTATCTAGGTTTCTTTGAATTTTTATGTCCAGTATTTCTTCATATTTTTACAAGAAATCCAGTACACTGGGAAAAAAATCCAGAAATTCTTCATCTCATCGATAAAATTTACAAAAAATCCAATATTCACCTAAACTTTAAAAATAAAAAAATTAGTAAAGACATAATCGTAATCGCATTCCCTTTGTGGAGGTGCCACGTCAAAATTGGAGTGATAAGAAGAAACCTGAAAAGTGAGGTCTATAGTGAAATTTATTTTAGAGTTTTTCAAGGTTATATAATTATTTAAAAATATATATTTAAATTATTTAAATAATTGAGAAATAAATTAAATAAAGTTTATTTAAAGAACTCAAAAAAATTGTTTGAGAACAACTGCAGAAACATTGTCTTTGTTATAGGCGATTTCATCTTATAGTAAACAGACAACAAAAACAAGTAATCCTTATATACGCATATTACTGATACATTGAATTCAATACAAGTTTGCATAGGACTGGTGTATGCAGAAATTTAGAGGTAACAAACAAGGTAAGTTATTACAGGCATTTTGCTTCAATTTCCTCTAGTGTAAGCCCTTTGGTTTCTGGTACAATGAAGTATATGAATGCAAGCGACACCACGGCTATTCCGCAAAATATGTAAAACAAAATTCCTGCTCCCAGTAAATCCTGTAAACATAGGCGGAAAAAAGACACACAGTTTCGATAAAGTCAACTGTGAAATATGAAAATCATGTGATTGAAGATGACAGTTAAAAATATATGATCTTTTTAAAGATTTTAATCACCTTCAGTGGGGAAAAGGCGAATGTAACAAGGGCGTTTGCTGCAAAATTGACGAGAACTGCTATACTGAGTCCTCGACCTCTTAAGCGCAAGGGAAAAATCTCTGCTATCATAAGCCAACCCATTGGACCAAAGGAAACCTGAAAAACGACATGGAGTCACTAAATCTCTGCAACCATGCGAGATTTCCAATAATCATAGTTTATGCCATCTAAAATAGGCAGCCGATTTACATGAAAAATGAAGACAAAAAGAAGCTCATTCACCTGATAACACCCGACATAGAGTAGCAGACCAACTACAGCAAGAACTGACGCGTTATCCAAGAATATGTAATATGAACCCAGTAAGAATAAGGAGACCACCTGCCATACAAATAAACACATGTTCTCGAACTATGAACTTTGTTTACATCTGAGATTTTTACATGCATTCCTTTTATATAATTAAATTGATGCAGCACTAAGGACTTATTAGAAGAATCGGCTGAGCCTCTTAATTTGAGATAGAAAAGAAACATGTTTCTTTCTCGGAAAATTGCTACCAAAATTATTTGTCAAAGTTTAAGAGATAGAAAGGAACTTACTATTCCAGAAACTCCTCCAAGTAGTAAAGGTCTCCTTCCAAGTCTATCAACAACGACAACAGCCACTCCGGTCATAATCAACTAGAATAAAAACAGAAGGACAGAGGAAAAAATTAGATAAAATAACATTCATATCTTGAACAATATATGTACAATCCACGAAATCAGATTTTGTATATAATAGAAACTGAAAAAAATATGATACTACAACTACATTAATACATAAATTCAAATGTTAATTATTAAGAATTAAGAATATGAGAAAATTGTTAAGAAATGTGGTTGGACCTAACTCAACCCTACAAAACTGGTTGGTAAGGTCAGGATTGCCTCCACTTATAAACACATGCTCAAGCCATATATTTTCCGATGTGGGAAACAAAAATGAAATCTACCTTGAATACACCAAGGAGAATAGAGACCCGGGTAGCATCAGATGCTAATGAGAATCCTGCACTCTGCAAAATTTAATTGGATACAATAGTGTCATTATGCTATGGTGCCAAGTAATAATTCTATGAATTTGCAACAGTATTCCTTGATTCAAACTAACATAACACCTGAAGGATTGATGCGGCGTAGTAGAGAACACTTGGTTGCCCTGTGATCTGTCATAAATTTGCATCTTATCGTAAAAATATACTGAAATGTTGGTAACTCTTATAATTATTACTATTTCACTTGAGCAATTATAGTACCTGTTGAAACAAAACCAATCCTGCACTAATCACAAGGGCCTTCTTGCATTTTCCACGGAACATTTCTACAAAGGTAACCTCATTTTCTACACCTATATAAGAAAGCTCTGCCATTATCTCGTCTACTTGCTGAGGCGCAGAATCGTGAAATGTCCGACCTTGAAGCTGGCACAAACTACGAATTGCCGACTCTTTCAAATTCTGAACATCTCCTTTTCTCTGTATAGCACGCAAAAGCAGCCATCTAGGAGAAGCTGGGAGCCACCACATTCCAAACCCCATTATTACTGCAATAGGGCTACTAATTCCAAACATATACCGCCATCCAGCAACAGTGTCTACCCACAAGCTACCTAGTCCATACCCTGCCTGCACAAATTTGCGATATACAGCCATTTTTAGTAATATTGAGAAATTAGGAACAGAAAATAATTTGATAATAGAAGATTATTTTTGAGGAAGTTTTACAGCAGTAAAAGGGAAAACTAAGTTCATTTGGTTTTCTGCATTTATAGAACATACAGGAAAATTCAAGGTTCTACCAGAAATGTTCAAGAACTTACAACGATCCCAATCACTATAAAGAATTCTTTCAGAGAGATTAGTTGTCCACGTATTGGCGTTGGAGCTGTCTCTGCAATGTACATTGGAGCAGCATGCATTGCCTGAAAGAGATAGAGTGAACACCGTGTATCTTGCTTTGAAGTTAATAAGTTAGAAAATATACTACACATTATTAATAATTTCAAGATTAAAAAGACGCTATAAGTTAGTAAAAAGGTCCTATAATTGTAACATTTGATAATTCCTCTACTATATATACAAAATCAGACCACAAACAAAAAATACAAAATATGATACCTAGCCTAATCTCCTAATTATGGGATTCACTTCTGTCTATACAAGGAAATATCCATTTAAATCCATATCCCCTCAGGGATTCTGATAGGCAATCTCACCCTGCATTTGTAAGAAATTGATTCTAAGATTCAAATGTGACACTCCAGCCATTGAGTCAAGGCACCCTTAATCAAGGGAGTAAGAACAGAAAAGGGAAATTTGGAGCTATACAGTTTCTACCAAGACAGGCCCGGCCCATTGTGGGTCTATAGCAAATATCTGCTTTTGCAAGAGATTAATTCCACAAGGACCAAAACGTGAAACCATGACCTCCTAGTCTCATGGCATCAACTTCAACCACTTCGCCAAGATTCCCTTTAGCGCACAGAAAATTAAAAAAGTCAAGGGTCCACCATGGCCACAGACCATTCCCCCCTCTCTCCACTTCTAGCCCCTTGGTTAGGGAAATACTCATATTATGTAAAAAGTAAACTCTTCTAAACACTTGAGCCACTAGGTTAGGTGTAGGAAAACAAATTATTTATTTTTCTAAACTAAGAGGGCGATATCTCTGTAGCACCACACTTTTTATTGCACCACACGTTTTATCGAAGGCGTATCCGGAACTGAGACGACACCAACACATGTGATTACATTTAATTGACTCATTTTCTTAAATTTTTTACCAGTGTCAATGTACGAGTGTGTGACTAGTGTATGTGTTTCATACACAGATATCCAACATCTCCAATTGTCTACAATGTTTGCTACCTCAACAAATCAGAAATGAAAAAGTACAAGCTTAGCTGTACCATTCGCATAAAAAAGAGCATACCAATCCAATTCCTATTCCAAATACCAATCTCCCAACCACCAATACAAGAAAATTAGGAGCTAATGCTGTTATAAGTGCTCCAACAAGATACAGCAGTGCAGCTACAATCAGCTCTCTTCTTCTCCCTAAAAATAAAGTTTACCATGTCAACTTCGCACTGGAAGGATATATACATATATATATATATATACATATATATATATATATATATATATATATATATATATATATATATATATATATATATATATATATATATATATATATATATATATATATATATATATATATATATATATATATATATATAATGATAACAGATAAAAATGCATAATCACCTAGGAAGTCAGCAATATTGAAGGCCAACAGAGAGCCTATTAAGGCACCATATAACGATCCACTAGTCTGCAAAAGACATCAAGCTTCAATAACTGAGCTCATATTCAAGACCAAGATACAATTGCATGAATTAACAAATGACTCGTAAAAATTACAAAAGGCATGTCGCCATGACCAAATAAAAAACAAATCAATAATTTTATTTCAACTTACAAGAAGGCCAATTTGAACAGAGTCTAAGTTATACCAAGCTATTCCACTTTGTGATGGTGACTGCAAAGAATGGAAATTATAAGTACACAAGCAAAGCATTAAAAAAATACAACAATAATAGTACTGAATTGGTGTCAAAATTAGAGTAGATTGGTGTACCTGGATGGAGACAGTTGCACTAGATGTGGCACCAATGTCATAGCCAAATAGTAGACCACCAAAAGCTGGGAAGAGAAATCTGAAATTTTTAAAACATGTTTTAGGTTAGTCTACAAACAGAGTTCTTATTCTATTTCATCGTCTTTTCACTAGGAAATAGTATCACGTGGTTAATTAAAGACTTGCGATCACAAAATCAAGGGTGGATAATGAACATGAAATGATGGCAATTCTCTTCATTATAGTAGTCAAATTACTTCATCAACATCAAGTACAAAGGAAAGGAAGAAGCCTAAAAGGAGGAAGTTTTTTCACAAGATATGTGTCTAATCAACCTAGGATTATTTTGGTAAGATATTAAATTCCACAGGGTAACTAAAAGCTCAAGGATAGGGGATTGCTGATGCGCAATAGCAATAGCAATGTGCATCAGCAATCCTCTATCCTTCATGATTAACACATATCTTCATTCACCAAACCCGATCAACATGACACCACACCTAGAAGTAAAGTCTTCCACACAGCCACTTAAAGTTATAGCCCTCTACCGTAGCTAGTCCAAGCCAAAAGGTTATCCTTTATGTGGCGTTAATATCTATAGTAACATGTACAAAAGAACACAGAAGGGGTCAAAAGGTAATAACACTCACGGGAGAATCGCAGCAGAGATGGAATAGTTTTCAGAGGCATGAAACCCATTAAGCAGAGGCTCCCTTTCAGTTATAACCTCCGCGGACGACTTTCTTTCCTAATGAAAATCAATGCATTTCAAGCGTTACAATTTATAAAAGCAAATAAATACCCTAAGACAACAACAAATTAGTTTCACTAAAACTGTATAAATCAATGTATCTATTTGCAAAAATCCAACTTATTCTTGTTTCAATTTTTCCCAAAAATAGAAAAGACCAAAACCAAATAAATATGATCATACAAAGCATAGACTCGACATCGGACACAAGGACAACCGATTGATTATATGAAATTACATGTGCTGGTGTCATGAAATTACAAAAACTAAACACTCATAATTCTCTGATTCGAATGGGAAATAGGCATGCAAAACAAAAATCTGTTATTTCTATGAACACTCTCAACAGAAAGGGGAAATTCAGTACTATATGCCAACTTGTTAAGTGTGTGAAGCGATTCAACTTGCTTACTGCAACAAACAAGTTCATATTTTTTTAGGTTACCGGAAGCTAAATTTCCTAGTTTCAACGTTTCCATTACCTGAAAATACAGATTTTCTCAGAAATCAAGCAATGTTTGAAAATGCTACAGTAAATTAAAATTGAGGGTGCATGTTGGAAAGTGAAAAGTTAAGAATGAAAAAGAGAGAACCTGTGAGAAAGAGGAAAGCGGGGGTTGTTCAGGGTCAGACGCCATTGCAGTGATGTTTGAAACGGTGGTTAAAGAAAAAGTAGAATCAAACAGTGAAAATGAAAGATAGATAGTAGTATTTATTTATTAGACTAATTAAAAAAGAAAAAAGAAAAAGAAAAAGAAAGGTTTGGATTAATGAGTGAATAAGTAAGTGGTGATTGGAGGAACGAAGCAAGCACATGGATAAGTGTCTAGACACGTATCGAGAGTAATCAGCTTCAACGTATGTATGCATTTTATAGCATGTCGAGGAAGATTGAAATTCATTTTTTATTAGTTGAATTTTAAATGATTTTTTCTTATAAATGGGATAACATGATAATGCTTCTACTCATGCACCAAATTTTGAAGAGTCAATTAGTTCTCTATGGTAAGGATTGACCTATGAATTTGTTGATTTCAACTAAACCAATAATTTTTCCATTTTTTTTTTAATTTTCATCGATAATTACGGTAACATTTTCAACTTATATATTTTATGAAAATATGGTGTATTGTTGAATTTTATATTATTATCAAGTATTATGTGATGTTTTATGAACTTTATTAGATATTATATGATATTTTTAATCGAATTTGAGTGTTAAAAATGAGTATATTGGTATTGAGTTGTGTTTTTTTTTTTAAATTGACAAAAATAATCATAAAAAAATTATTTTTTTATTTGAAACACAGCCCGTGAACTCAATCCATAAATGAACGAGTCAGTTCGGGTCGATTTTGACAATAAAATTACAGGTTGGACAAAAAAATCAAACCCATTGAAGTTTGAACGGGTTGGATAATACGTTAGGCCAAACCCGATCCAACCCAACTCGTGTACACCCTTATTTAAAGTAGCTTCTGATGTTTTGCCAAAGATTAGGGAAATATGTGAAAGATTTAGATAATATGATGGTAAAGTTTAAGCAATGTGTTCTTGTTCTTATGGTTTGCAATATATATGTTTCACGTGGGTTGATTATAGATGTGCCTACAAGATAGAATTCAAAACACATTTGATACTTAAAAGCAGTGTTTTAAAAACCGGATCGGTCATCGAACCAGTAAGGGTATTGGGTCACTGGTTTATCGGTCGAACCGCATGACTAAACCGAATTAAATCGGATAACTCGATTGAATAGACCTGTCATTATATAGATATAAAACTGGTCGAACCGGATGATTCAGTTTCTAAAAAAATATAACTAGTACTTAAATTTTTTGAAAATATCATATCATAAATTCACAAGTTCATAATTCAAATTCAAATTTTAAACAAATGTATCACACATAAAAAAATAATACAAAATTACAAAATCTAATTGCAAACAAAGTCTAATTGCAACAGTTTCCCCATCAATGATATTATTTATTATTTATTATGAAATAAGAGGTAACTATTTGTAAGTAAAATATGATTCTCCTAAAAAGAAAACCAAATAAAATTCAATATGTTTATGCTATTTCAATTTCCCTTTCAACAAAATACATGCATTTTTCTATTGTTAGTATTTTGACACTAAATATAATTAATTATAAATTATAATTAATTAAAAATATTAGCAGTGACAAAATATAAAAAGATAAAATATATAACGATCTAAAAAGTTAAAATAATAAGGTAACTAATTTGTTACTAATCACAAAGTTACAAACTATTTAGGAAAATGTATTATCAAAAATAACATATAGCCAATAAAGTATGTAATTTGTCACTAACGAAAAAAATTTATGTGAGAATGTTATTTAAGTAATACACTACTAACTATATTTAAAAAAAGTTTAAAAAAAAGTTTTAAAAAAAAAAGTAAAAAAAAATAATAATAATTAAACCGCCGGTTTTCCCGGTTCGCATCGGTTCAATGGCGAGGCCGATTCGCCAATTGAACCAGGTCGGCTAGTGTCCCGGTCCGATTTTTAAAACACTGCTTAGTACTATTAAATATTAACGTGAATTTAAAAACCTTCATTATTATTATGCAAATTATATAAGTAATCTTTCAAAGGAAGAGTGGCTGAGACTTGAAAAAATGAGTAGGTTCTTGTTGTCATTTTATGAAATTACCAATTTGATGTCTGAAACAAGTTATCCCACTTTTAATTTGTACTTCTTGCAAATTTGAAAAATTCAAAGTCTTTTGATAAACAACCAAAAATATGGGTTGTAAATAGCATGGCTACTAGCATAATTTTGAAATTTGAGAAATATTGGGATAAATATAGTGTTATTCATGCATTTGGGGTTTTCTTAGATCCAAGAATGAAGTTGGACTCATTAGGCTATTATTATAAAGTAGTTGAGCCACTAAATTAAAAATTAAAGTTGAAAAACATAAAGTAGAAATTGTACAAGTTATTCGTAGAATATTATATTTCTTCTTCCAATGCTTGAAGGACTCCTACCTCTTCAATTATGTCAACTGAACCAAGCCTATTTGATATAAGTTTTTTGTTTGTGATTTACTAATTGATTTCTTTCAAATAATATGAAAGCATGATTTACTAATTAGTTTCATTTAACTTTATGTTATTGTTCAATTGCCATAATTTTATGAATTTAGATTAGGTAGACAACAATCTAGTACAACTAAAAGAAATGGTCAAAGTCAGCTTGACATGTATTTGGAAGAGTCGGCCTTAGATATTGATTACACATAACATTTGGATGTGCTACAATGGTAGAAGAACACTAAACAAATATTTTTCGAGGTTTCAATAATGGCTCAAGACTTATTAAGCATTCATATTACCATTGTTGCATCAAAATCTTCCTTTGGTATTAGTTCTAAAGTGCTTAATAAGTATAGAAATCACATATTGTCTGAAAATGTTGAAGCATTGATTTGTTCTCGCAGTTGGTTGCATGCCTTTCTTGATGGTAATTATTTAGATTTTCGAATGGTTCACTCTTGTTTTGTTAGACAATGTTATGTAATTTGACATCATTTTATTCTGTCGTTTATTTGAGAAGATGGTTTTGCAGGTATTCACATGTTATTTTTTTTCTTTCAAAATGTTTTTGTGTGTATTAAACTAGTGTTTCTTGAGTGGATTGTAGTAATGAATCTGGTGTGATTTAAGCCTATTCAATTGGTATTAACTATTGAAAAGATATGATGTTCTGAATTTATGTGAGTTCTGTGATATTATTTTTTGAAGTAAGTTAGATTTTGACTAAATCTATGTGTAAAAAAAATCTTAGTTTTTGATTGATTGGGGAAAAAATGAAAGAAAAAAAAAAGTGGGACAAACTCGCCGCCCGCCAACCCGCAACCTTAGCGAAGCATATTAAAATTTTTCAATTTAATTTTAATTGGTGGACTTATATGTCCTACTCTTTTTCGACAAACTTAATACGGGACAAAGCGGCAGAGTGAACAATCCGTTTTAACATCTCTACTCAAAATATAAAGAATATAATAAATTACGGGAAAAAAAATCGTTATATTTCATACTAGCAAATGTCACAAAAATATCATTTAAAATTTTAGTAAAACAGATTAAATATACTACAATAACGTTATAAAATGGTTTTACACTAAATATATCATTCAACTATTCAATTTAAAATAACAGATGATTTGATGGAATACTGACACAGAAAGACTATTTACAGTTTTATTTTTTCTTAATAAAAGAAATTCTTTTAAAACAAGTGTTAGTATTTTCCACAACTTATACTCATGAAAAAAAAGTTTACTATTTTAAAAATAGAATTTACCAAACTATGTGAACCTAATATCAATTTGATGTGATTCATACCAATTTTAATTTATAAGAAAAAATTAATAAAAGATAGAGTGTGTTTCTCTTATTAATTAATGTAAGTAATGTTCATGAATTAGTGAAAAATAATGAGCAGTTTTTGAAACAGAATGTTTGCTTTTGTTAATGAAAATTTTAAATAATATGATTATACTGAATCTCTTAAAACGAAGATAAAACAAAACTTTTGTATTTAATTTATAGTTATAAAACAAGTTGATATTTTCTAATATTAAAAAATAAATAAAGATGAAGGTTACTTCATTTAATGGTTTTGTAGTTGTTTCGACTTCAATTTTTTTCCATTGTTTATGTAGAGTCACTCGTAAATACTCCTTACCAAATATTTTCACTAATAAGTGGGAGGGTTAGGTATACTCTAGTTTCTTTTTTTCTCATGAATGGTGAGGGTAAAATCCAAAAGAAAACGCAAAGTTATACTATATCCTCGTTAAATATAATTAGCACCTTCTAAGATTGGAGTCTAAGTATGTTATGTTATGCTTAAATTGTGCTTTCTTTAATTTTAGCCAAAACATCCGAAAATTTATTTGATTTTCGATAGACATGAATGCATTTGTACTCGTCCAATTTCCTTAACTCTTGATAAATCTGGACCAAAGATAAATTGGTGTCTTTTTTTTTCTGCTCCAACCTGATTGCCTCTTAAAATTCCTTTAAGTTTGTTTGGATTATCAATTTTCCTCGTCTTCTAATTTTGTTAAACATTTTGACTCCTTCGAGAATACCCCATATTTCTGCAAACAAAAAAGAACAACGACCTACCGATTTTGTAAACCCATAAATCTAGTTGTCTTTGTTGTCTCGTATCACACCCCCACATCCTGCCTTTTGGCTGGTAAGAACCACCCCATCAGTATTCAACACCATCCAATTCTCCTCTGGGGGATATCACTTGTGCACTTAGACTGAGTTAGTATTGACATTCACTTTCTGAGTCATTTTCATACTAGCTTGATGTTGTTAGACTCTGATGAAGATTGTCTGAACGATGTTCTTTGGCATGATATAATCATTGACATGAATTTTCTGATTCCTCTAATACCATATAACATGGCACACAATTGCCCGAGTAGCCTGCCAATGTTTCTCTTCCTAATGGCTAAAATCCCATTACAGGTTTAGTTGGATCCGTTCATGCGTTTCTGCTTTGAAAATGTTTTAATGATATTTTTCCACCAAAGTTAACCAGATGTGTCTTGTGGAAGGGAAATCTCTAATATTATGAAGCATGG